GGTCCATCTCTGGACCTGTTTCCCTTCTGCTTTCTTCTACTATCACATGGCTATTTCTTATTTTCTCCTGCCCTCCATTCTACTTCAGTAGCATACAAGGTCAACCTCAAATACTTTTGACTATGACTTCTTATGAATGGATAGGACTTCAGCCACTCATATAAGTCACCTAACAATTCCTCATACATAGCATACAGTTTTCAAAGTCTCTGTTCTGTTATTCCTATTGCTTGATTAGACTTTAAACGTTTTCCTTCTTTCAGCTTTCAAAATTTCTCATTCTATTCTCTACTGTCCCAATTTCATGTCCCAGTTCAAATGCTCCCTCCCTTGTGAAAGCTTCCAGATCTGCCTCAGTCTCTCTACTCTCTCTGCACTGTTAGCATTGATTTCACTCTGCCTCTCCCAATTATATAAATTTCCATTTCTCAAATTAATGTGTAGTTTCTTGGGTATAGGAATCATCTTAGTTCATATGAGTATTCCCCACCTCCATCACAATCACCAGTGGTGACTAATACAACCACTTATTTAATGAGTGCTTCACACTGGTTGAATGAAGGAAGAAATTACAGGTACTTAAGAATGACTCGTGCAGTCATGAGAGTTCATCATAATCCACCAAAGTTCACCTTAATCATATATTCTGTGGTACCAGTCAGGAGTTATCATAGGATCCCAAGCCTCATCATGCAATTGTTTAACTACACAACATAATTATTTCACAAGAGAACTCTATCATCAAATGAAATACAGGGTCTCAACTATTAATTTAAAATAGCCAATAGAAAGCCTTGTATATGTTTCAAATGGAAAAAAAATATTTTATCTTTTACTTATGCTTACTTTCCAAAAAATTCACAATTTCTAACATAACACATGTGTTGACCTGAGGCAAATAATCTCCTCCACTAGTAGACAGACAGACAAAGACAGAGATGGAGAGTCATTGGAGCCCCCAAGATAAGAACTCTCCCACATAACAGTCTTTTTTCTTTCTCAAAATACATTTGGAATGGATAAAAGAGTAACAGGAAAATAGAACTGCTGAAAACAGCCAGACAGTATCTGTGTCTGCAATTGAGAGAGGGTCACAATTGAATTACAAGGATAATGGGCACAAAAAGAATTAAGGGACAGTAGCCAAACTGCAGCATGGGTAGCTAGGACACAATTACAGTTCTTTAAGGATAAAAAAAAAAAAAACTACCAGAAATAAATCATCAGAGGTCCACTGCTCAGTGGCTGTTTCTGATTTAGTACAACTCCATGACTCCATGTTATACCAATGAAATAATTTATATAGAAAGAGCTATATGAGGTGACCAGCTCATTATCACAAAGTCAATTGGTAGGAGGGTTTATAGAGGATCAAGAACCTATGGCTCCCACTGAATGTTCTTTGCCCTAAATAGAACTTCGTATTAATTCTATATGTGTTCATTCTCTGTTTCTGCAGTAACAAATTACTGGGAATTTAGTGGCTTACCAAAACACAAATGTGTGATCTGACAGTTCTGAAGATGAGAAGGCCAAAATGGGTCTTCCAAGCTAGAATCGAGGTGTCAGCAGAGCTGCATTCCTTCTAGAGGACCTAGGAGACTATCCACTACCTTCCTCTTCCAAGGTTGCCTGCATTCTTTACTTCATGACCCCTTCCTCCCTCTTCAGAGTACATCACTCCAAACTCTGCCAGCTGTCATCACATGTCCTCTCTGACTCTGACCATCCTGCCTTCCACTTGTAAGGTAGGATTCTTATGATTACATTATCCAGATAATCCGGGATAATTTGCCCATCTCAAAATTCTTAATCACGTTGACAAAGTCCCTTGTGCCATGTAAAGTAATATATTCACAGGCTCGGGGATTAACACATGGATATTTTGGGGCCATTATTCTGTACACCACAACTTCTCACTAGTGAACAGATGTTTTAGGGAGGAAGAAGAAAACTTTATCACTAAGCAATGAATCTGACAGAAGAACTTTCAGAGAGCCTGTCAGGAAAATGGAAGAGATATTGAAGGAGGAAGGACAGGTAGTGCATCAGGACCTTCTCCCTGAAACTACACATAAGATGCTTCTGACTCCTATTATATCTAGGACCAAGTCTGACCAACTAATATCCACCAATGATGAGGAAACTATCCTTGGATTATCCAAGATAATCAGCCAATCAATATGTTCTTGGACAACTAGGTATATCATTTCATCCTGAGTGCTTCTCTGAATGATTTTGAAATGACTTTTGTTCATTAATTCAGTAAATATTTTTGAGCGCCCAGAATGCCAACTTCCATTCCGGGCACTGAAGATACAGCATGGACAAGAATTCCTGCCTTTGTGAAGTCCATATTCATGACAGAAAATGCAATTCTGGTCTGTTATATACAGATTCCCTTCCCTCGAAAGGATAAGAACACTTGAAGAAATGCTGCAATTCATCAAATACAGAGAGTCACAAACACTCTGCTTCTTTCCAGTTCAATTTCCACATTCACAGAGTCTCCTCTCAGTATTCTGACTTATTTTTTATCTGAATTTTTACATCTATGATTTCTGTCACAGTAATTTTTCAATGGTTTTCTGATAAATATGCATGGGTTTTATCTCCTTAAATATGGTACAAGACACTTGGGGTGAATTGTGTACCATAGTTGTTCATTCTGACTGAAAAGCAGCTCAGAAATGATGCTGGGTGGATTTCTTGGCTAATTCACTCATTCGTTCAACAAGTATTAGGTAGCAGTTAGCAGGACAATTTTAAGTAAAAGTTGTTTAAGCTGTTTTATGACCTAAAACCAAACCTCCATATCATGAAGTATGAACTAACTAATCAAAATTTTTCTAGGAATGGGCAGAAAAATAAGGCAAAAAGCCTTCCTTTTGATCGCTAAAGGGAAAAGTGTGTTAGCCAAAACTCTTCCAAGGCTTCCATGAAGTAGGAATAACAGTGAGAATATACTATGACCTGAAAATATAAGTGGTGCTTCCTCCAAATTGAAATGTGAAGAGCAAAAACAAAAACAAAAACAAACAAAACAAAAAAGTGATGGGGCCACTGGTCGACTCAGTCGGTTAGGCATCCAACTCTTGATTTCAGTTCAGGTCATGATCTCAGGGTCGTGAGATCAAGCCCCACGTCAGACTCCACACTGAGCATGAAGCCTGCTTAAGATTCTCTCTCTCCCTTTCCCTCTGTTCTCCTCCCACCTCACTTGCTCACACACTCTATCTTTCTCTCTAAAAAAAGAAAATAACAAGTGAGAAGATAAAACAAATACTGATAAACCTGACTATTAATAAGTTTGTAAGGAATAGGGTTAACAAAATCAATAAAGGATTTACTGAGTCAATCAGGAAAAAAATATATACATATATATACACACACACACATATATATATATATTTCTGTGTAAAGCTTCCATAAAACTAGAGTCTAGCCAGAGGGTAAGAAGGACAATTTTAGAGAAAAAGAAAGTAGAATACATTTTTAAAATCAGAAAGGAAATTGATGGAAAGATGACAAAAAGGAAGACAACAGGAAATTGGGTTTTTGAATGCTGCAGGAGTCCAAGATGGTCAGTTAGAGGGAAAATTGTGGCAAACAGTAAGAAATAGCAGACTGGAAGCTCATTCAGATATGCAATCTCAAAAGTCCAGCGGCTCAGAATTGCTTCTTACTAGCATTAGAGTTGCTTTCTTTTTGACTAACATACTGCATTCCTTAACTTTTGACTAACATACTGCATCCCCTAGTTTTACTTACTTGCTTGAGGGAAAGGTGCCATATCATGCTACTATAGACAAACAAATAAGTTACCCAATGGCTCTCCTTCACTGAGATCTTATGTGTGCAAGAAATGATTTCCACAATGAAGAAATAACTATTCATTTTATTTATTTATTTATTTTTTTAGATTTTTTATTTATTTATTTGAGAGAGAGAATGAGAGACAGAGAGAGCACATGAGAGGGGGGAGGGTCAGAGGGAGAAGCAGACTCCCTGCTGAGCAGGGAGCCCGATGCGGGACTCGATCCCGGGACTCCAGGATCATGACCTGAGCCGAAGGCAGTCGCTTAACCAACTGAGCCACCCAGGCGCCCCATAACTGATTCATTTTAAACCTGACTCATTACCCAAGAAGGATGAGCTTGGATTGGTTGCTGCAGAAGACAGGGCAAGAACAGATGAGCTCAGGAGGGGAGAGCCAGACTCCAGAAATGAGAGCTAAATCTGAGAATAGAAGGATAAATGAGCCAAAGACAAAAGGTACCTACTTTAGATCCCTCAAAGAACAAAAAAGACAAAATACTACAACTCACAAATGGGAAATCTGGAAACTTACCCAGGTCCTGTCTTCAACTATTCAACAGCTTCTAGAAAGAGACACTAGGTTCTGGGTGCTCAATCACCTTGGGACTTTGCAGACTTCCATGGAAACAGCACTGCTCCTTTAAGGCCATTGCCATTAGAAGATATTCCACTCTCAGTTCTCTAGTTCTGTCTAGCTTTCACACTCAAGAATTACGACACGAATTACAGCGATTCTTTATTTAGACTATGTAAATGATCATGGTATGCAGAAAACCCAGATTCTGCAGCATTTAATGAAATCATCATTTATTTTCTTTTTAATTCAAGTTAGTTAGCATATAGTGTATTATTTGTTTCAGGGGTAGAATTTAGTGATTCCATCATTCCATCAAGTGCCCTCCTTATGGTATTATCATTTAAAGGTCTTGATTTAGGGTCACCTGGGTGGCTCAGTTGGTTAAGCACCTTCCTTTGGCTCAGGTCATGATCCTGGAGTCCAGGGATCGAGCCCCATGTCCATCGGGCTACCTGCTCAGCAGAGAGCCTGCTTCTCCTTCTCCCTCTGCCCTTCCCCCTTGCTCATGCACTCACTCTCTCTCTCCGTCTCTCTCTCTCAAATAAATAAATAATAATCTTAAATAAATAAATAAATGTTTGAGTTAAATGGAATCAGAATTGGGGAACTCCTTACAATAGATTCAGGGGAATTTTACATTTTAAAATGTTCCGGAAAAAAAAAGAGAGAAAGATGTTCATTATCCCCAATTAATAAAATCACTCAGTTGGAAGAGATCTAAAAATGTGTTCTGACACAGTTCCTTTCTTTTGTTTCTCCATCCTGGACATGTCAGTTTCTCTACAGTTCACACGGTTTGAAAATGCATTTTCTTCCTTGGCATCCTGCTTTTTATTAACATAATAGTCCAAAGGTTCATCCTTACGAAAAGAAAATCTCTCATCTCTTTAAGTAAGCTGATGGCCACTTGATTCTTTCTCTGTGAACATAAAGACATTGTCAGCAACTCCCTCAGATAAATGTTTGATATCCTTGAACTTGGTAAAAGCAAATAAAGATCACTTGTCTGTGCCCTTTAGTTTTAACCACCTCGATTCCTTTAGTCTTCCTCCATGGGATTATCCTCTATGTCTTCATCTTTGGCACTCTGCCTAACCACCCCCATTTCGCCACCAAACATCTCACTGCAGTGACCTAGAAAAAATTCTAACAAACATTTAAAGAACACAAACAAAATCAGGAGGATTGATTACTGGTTGTGGAACATTACATATTTAGTTCCCTAGTTTTTTCTCCATCCTTCCACCACCTAATTTTAACCTACACTACATTAGTTTAGTTTAGGGTGAGTTAGTTCCCTAGATACTTTTCTTCTAAGCAGGTTTTAATTATACTTTCTCCATCGTGATTCTATGAAATTGGGGTTTTATTTTTTTAATTTCACTTATCACATATACCTAATGAACTTTCTCTTTATTTCTTCGTTCCCTAAAGATAGAGGTAAAGTAAGCTGGTTATGATGGCACACATATTGGTATTTAATTTTAGTGCTAGTAACTTTCCCTAAAGATCCCTTGGTACAGTTAACAACCTAGCCTGCATCCTGGTCCTGACCACAGCGTGGACTCCAGACTCTGCAGTATACCTTCGGTTGCATCTTTGAATCTCCAAGTCACTTCCAAATCCTAGTTAAAACTTAAGGTTAATTCAGTTATTCATGCTGACAACCATTTGTATTTATTCTCCTGCTCTGCTCATCACCTCCCCACCACCACCTGTTTCTTCCTGCTTCTGGGCCAAAACATAATTGAAATAGACAAACAGCAAACCATTACCTGAGTTTTCCTTGTCATTGAAGTTTATCTAGTTTAATACCTTCATCCTCTTGTCAGCTTCACTCCATCCTTCCCTTGGAGCTATTCACAGACTATTATCGCGAACACACAGAGGTATATAAAGTGTTTCTGAAAATGGAAAATATAGCTAAATAACTGAACTGGATGACCAACTAATGCTGTTGTGAGCTGGGGTTGCAAAACTCAAGTCATTTAATCAAGAAAATTGTCTCCTAAAAATATATTCACTGTGATTGAAGCAACAAAGGGAAGTGTTGATAATGAGTCACAAGGGGCAAGGAATGACACTAGAGTCTTTAAGAAAATTAATCTCAAAATTTTTTGCCACTTTAAATCCTATCATGAATAATAAAAGCATCCCTGGATAATTTGGTAATATTCACTTTCCAAGAGATTTATACAAATTATATGGAACAGCCTTATAAATATAGATTTTTCTCTAAATGTAAATGAACTAGGCAAGTGAAAGAATGAGATAAAAAAAATTCTAGTAAAAAAGAGCATACAATGTGACTCTTATAAATAATAAATTTACTGCATTGTAATAACCACTTTGAAGATACAGCTCTGTCTCACTCATATTTGCTTCTTCCAAAACAGCTTGTACACTGTCTTGCAATCAAGGGGACAATCAATGTATTTGTTGAACTTCACCAAAAAATCCAGTCACTGAAATAATTCCATTGTCCCTTACTGTGCTTGTTATTTGAAATCATATTCCTATAATATGAATTAGAAACTTCACTTCAAAATATTAAGAGAAAGTAACAGGACTTGTGTCTATCTTTTTTAGCTTCAAGCACAGAGATTGAGGTAATCATATCCCTCAGTTCATGGTACGTTATCAGCATTGATTTACGGAGGGTCCCTCTCTTATTTTACTTATTTATTCCCATTAATATCCATTCTCTCTTTCTAATTCCTTTTCCTCAGAGGCAACCATTCTAGTGTATTTTAAGTGTAGCATGGTATTGATGTGGGAAATAAAGGCAAAAGAAATGCAGCTTAAATTAAAATCTCCTTGCAGGGGCACCTGTGTGCTTCAGTTGGTTAAGCGCCTGCCTTCGGCTCAGGTCGTGATCTCAGGGTCCTGGGATAGAGCCCCACATCGGGCTCCCTGCTCAGTGGGGACCCTGCTTCTCCCTCTCCCTCTGCCACTCTCCCTGCTTGTACTTTCTTTCACTCACTCTCTCTCCCTCTCACTGTCAAATAAATAAAATCTTTTTTAAAAATAAAATAAATAAAATAAAATCTTACAGCTTGTAGCCCACTGACAGATACCTGAAGCATGCAGAGCGTGACCTTCCTCAAGGAACTTGTGGCTGCCTTAATGTCTTAATGTTTAAAAGTAACCTTATCTTGGCAGAAGCTGGCTCCTCAAGGTCCTAAAAGCCTTGCTTCCAGATTCCTTGGAGACTGGTGCTATCCCTACCCCCACTAGTTAAAAAATATACAATCAGTCACTCCTCACAATCTCAGTACAGCTCTTTCTGCCCACAGATCCTGTCCCATGAGTAGGGAAAGGGCTAAGTCATAAGCAGGAGAGCTAGGAGGCTCCTGACTCCCTGACTAGGCTCTGAAACTGTTCCTGGCAGGTGGAGACTCTGAAACAGAGCAGAATAAGAGATAAGGGAACAAACCAAGACAGCACAAATATCTCAAGGCACGAGCTTCCCAGTCAGTTCTCAATAAAAGGCCGACACTAAAAGCCCTCAGTGGCAAGCCATTTGGGACCCCTCTCACTCCAGAGAGCCTTTTCTTTCCTTTCTGTTCTCACCCTCACTTAATAAATTTCACTCCACTTCACCTTTTTGTGTCCATGAGATTCATTCTTTGACTTGGTGAGACAAGAACCCTGCAATCATACGACAGTATTCCATTTGCTATCATAAAACACGCAGAATGTTTTCTATGCACATACATATAAAATATATGTGCCATTCTAAATGTTTTATTTCACTTAGCCCAAGTTCCTATGTGGACATCAGGTCTATTATTCCCAAATATCACAGAGTAATCTATGGTGGGTATGCACAACTTTTTGACTATCTGATCACTAATACCTAATGGCAGACACCCAAATTACCTCAGGGCCACTGCATATGATTATACAAGTATTGGGGTCACCTGCCACAAATTCTCCAACACCCATTTTCCAATAATGTTAATTTCAGCTGAAATACAGCTGTGTAATGAACATATTTGTTAAAATTCTAAAATATATGCACACTGGTTAGAATACAGCCACTGTCATATTTCCACTGGGGCTCCACCTGGCACCCAAGTTCTTTCCCCAGAATTCTTATGAATCAGATGTGAAAAGGGAATGCCTAGAATATCAGGGGTCTCCAGGATCTGGCTACTTATGGAAACACTGGTGAAATCTGAATACAGTCTAGCGTCAAGTTAATAGTAATGTACCAGTGTTGATCTCTCAGTGTACCACAAATGGACCACAGAGATATAAGATGATAACATTAGAAGAAACGGTTGAAACTGAAGCTGGTCGAGGGCTGCATAGGAACTCCCTGGAATACCTTGGCAACTTCTTGGTAACACTAAAACTGTCCAGAATGAAAGCTCTATTTAAATGAAACAAGAAATCAGAAGACAAATTTAAAAATAAGGCCGAATAGATTTATTAAGTGAAAAATCATTCATGAACATTTGTTGAAGCTCTGCAATTTGGCAAACAGACATTCAGGACACAAGGTGAATAATATACTGGTACCCGTCATTGACAACTTAACAGCCCAGTGGATACATGACACTTAGCCACTGAGGAAATAAGATCTAAAGTGACAGAAGGCAGCAAAGGACCAGGAAGCTGGCAACCTAGACTCTGGATTTTAATCTTCCATATAGTCCCTTTAGGATCTTGAGCTAATTAATTTTCCAGTACCTGAAACTTTTTAAAATAGGGAAACTCTATGAGATGATTTACCTTAAAGCTAAAAGACCATGAGATCCTCCCTAATTGAATTTTAATAATTTTCTAAGTAACTGTGTGGGCTCTATGAACTATTAACTCTCAGGTCTAAGCTATCCTTCTGTACTCTGTCCAGAAGCAGGAGCTGAGGCTCTGCAAACTCATTTCTTTTTGGCCAGCTCTGCCATTAGGGGGCACTAGAGGGAGACTGCACGCTGGAAGAGGAAGAAAGGACTTCCTTGCTCCTTCCTGTTTGCTGCCTGTGCGCTTCCTTTCTGCTCACCACGCCTGTGAGCATCACCCAACCACACAGTTCACCTCAGCAACCTTGGTTTCTTTCCTAGGCAGCAGCTGCGTTCCAACCTTAGAGGAGGTCACCTCATCACACCCTCCTCAGGAACACCTGTGTTAGACTGCAGCACCCTTGCATCAGGGGTGGTGTCCCTGCCCTCCTCTAAGCTCAGAGACTCTAGCACCAGCCAAGCAGCAGTCCCTCCTCAGATATGTGAATTTCAACTCCACAGGTCCTTCCTCCAAGATTTTAATAGCTTTTTATTTTTAGGTTTTAGTAATTCTAACTTCTTTCCTTCATTTTCCATCCCAAGGAGTGAGACCTGCTTCCTACAAATGCTATGTCTGTGATATCTCACAGTTCATCCTTTTTCAAAATCTAGTTAACAGCTTTTACTTAGCAAACCATTCTTTACACCAAACTTTTCCTTTCAAATTAACTGGTATGATTACTCCTTAACTGGACCCTGAAAAAACAGATTAGCAATAGAACAATGAGGGAAGCTAAGAGATAATGAGCTGCAAAGATAGAAAACAAACCAGCTATATAGTAAGACAAATCAGATGAAGTAAAAATTAATCCTTATCTTTAAAGTAAGAGAGTCTATTTAACATGGAGAAACTAAAAAATGAACAGTGAGCCACATATTGCCTTTCAAAGGGGATTTTTTTCACATTTATACTAATTCTATTTGGCACCATATCAAGGTAAGACCACTGGTGAGATAAGAAAACCATGACCAGGGCGCCCGGGTGACTCAGTTGGTTAAGTGTGTGGCTTCGGCTCAGGTCATGATTTTGGGGTCCTGGATCCAGTCCTACATCTGGCTCCCTGCTCAGTTGGGAGTCTGCTTCTGCCTCTCCCTCTGTCCCTCCCCCCACTTGTGCTCTCTCTTGCTCTCTCTCATAAATAAATAAATAAATAAATAAATAAATAAATAAATAAATAAACAAACAAATGCAAAAAAAAAAAACCATGATCTCTAAGTCTCTCACATAAGCAAAGCCCAAATCCTTTGCATATTTAAGAGACTTTACTCTAATTCACAAACTGAGAACATAGTCTCCTCATTGCCACCTTCATCTCCTTATTTCTAAAAGTGTAGATCACTGGATTCAGAAAAGGAGTGAGAACTGCATCAAAGATGGCAAGGAACTTATCCAGATGTGATGTGGGAAATGGCCACACGTAGAAGAAGATTAATGGCCCAAAGAACAAAACAACCACAGTGACATGAGCTGACAGAGTGCAGAGGGCCTTGGACATACTCCCCAAAGATTTTTTTCTGAACAGTCACCAAAATAAAGGTGTAAGAGATGATTAGAATTAAAAAGGAGGCCACAGAAATAAAGCCACTGTTGGCAGTAACCATGAATCCCAATTTGTTTGTCTCTCTGCAAGCAAGTCTGATAAACTGAGGAAGGTCACAGAAAAATCTAATTCATTAGGCCCACAGAAAGGCAAGTCCACAACAAAGGCCAGTTGAGTCACTGAATGAATTAAGCCAATGATCCAGGAAGCAACTAGAAAAAAAATGCACCTCCGTGGGGTCATGATGGTCAGGTAGTGGAGAGGCTCACATATGGCAACGTATCTGTCAAAGGCCATGGCGATGAGCAGCACCATCTCAGTGCCCCCAGCTGCGTGGATAAAGAAGATCTGAGCTACACAGCCCCCGAAAGAGATGGTTTTGCACTCTCTTAAAAGATCATAAATCATCTTGGGAGCTGTGGAAAAGCAAAATATCAAGTCGATGATGGAAAGGTTGGCCAGCAGGAAGTACATGGGGGACTGTAAACGAGGGTCAGAGGTCACAGTTAGCAGGAGGAGGAGGTTTCCCATCAAGCTGGCCACATAGTACACACAGGAAAAGAGGAAGAGAAGGAG